CTGCAGCACCGGATCCATCCAGGCTTTGTAGAAGTGGCCCCTCTGCCTGTGCATCCCTAGCCCTCAGGGGGGACAAGGGGCACCAAGCACGGCCCGGGAGGCTCCTCTGACCCACTATTAATCACCCCCCAGGCTGCGGCCTGCATGCACCGGGCCTGGGAGCGAGCTGGGCCGCAGTCCCGCTGCCCTGGGAAAAGCACCGGTGCGATGGTGAGGGTGACTATACCCGGAGGTGTCACCGGCCGTCGTTTGCCTGTTGTGATATCCCCAAGTCCAGCAAGGAGGCCGGGGTCCCACACCCCCTCCAGCCCAGGGCTGCTCCCCTGCTTCCCATCGTGGCACATTTCGGTGGAAACCGGGACTCGCTCCCAGGCCAGGGGCAGCGAGCACTGAGGGCTCAGCCAGCCTGGTGACTGCAGCACCCTGAATCCCACAGCACCCCAAATCCCACCGCGGTGCCGGGAGCAGCTGGCGCGGCGCCGTAGAGGTGCCCGGCGGCTTTGACCTTCGTCGCCCGGTGGGGAGATCCAGCTGGGAAGCGGAGCCGAGCTCCGGCCGCCTCTGGCTCTAGCCACGCTGCTCCCGATTGGGGCGGCCTAGATTCGCGCTCGCCGTCCTCCCCCGGCTGCGGCGGCTCCGGTGCCAGCTCGGGGCTGGCGTCAGGCAGGGGCATCCAGCGCTTGGTCCCAAATCCCGTGGGCTCTGCGGCTGCTCCCACAATAGCCCCCGGCGCTCGGAGTCCCAGTGTCAGCCCTTGGTTTCCCCACCAAGCAGCAGCAGTGGAGGTGCCTGCGGGCACCGTGCAAGGAGCGTTATCCACAGTCGGGACACGCGGATGCCACCAGCAGCTCGAAATTGCAGAAGGAACAAAGGAGACGGGAGCCCCAGCGTGGCACCGTGCCCTCTTGCGTGGCCAAAGGCCTTGCCCTGTGCAGGCCACGCTGCTGTTCGGGCACCTCTTTAAGGAGCTGTAGGTATTTTTTGCCCTCTTTGTGCTTGTGAGCAATTTGGGGCACCGCTGGCAAACGGCTTTCCACATGCCAGGGGGCCAAAGATCGAGGCTCCCGCCTCATCGTGGCAGCTGCCAGCTGAGCTGCTCTCATTTGCCTACTAAAAGTGAGCCAGGTTCAGTGCCGCTCTGGCACTAAATAATTACCCATTCTAATTACATAATTAGCTCCCCGTATGCCTTTTGTGTTCCCGCACTTTCCCAGGCCGCTCGAGCTGAGTCGGGCACGGTCAGGAGCTGTGGGCACGCGGGGCGTTACGGGCACCTCGGCCCAGGCCCCGCGGCCGCTTCTTGGCACGGATCCGCCGGGCTGATGGAGACGTAACGCGGCGCTGCCGTGAGCTCCCGCGTCCCCCCTCCGAGAGCTGCTCCGTGTCGCAGTTCCCAAGCACAGCGGTGATGTTCGGGTGAATTAACTCGGGCTCGCGGGAATGCTGCTGCAGCTCCGCTCCGGAGCTATGTAGGAGCGCGGCCGCTCCTGGCGATGCTGCCGCACGGCCCTGGACCTGCCTGCCGGGAAGCCGGTGGCG